TACGTCTGTCACTCGAACCACTAGCTGGAGGCCGGCCACGCTTCCTCTTTACCGGTGTCCCTTCAGAAGACATCTGTTGTTGTTGATGATGGTGATGATGATGATGATGGTGATGATGGTATCGTGAAGTAGCACTTGAACTACTCTCACCAGCCTCTGAGCCTGCATCTCCAGTTGTATCGTCACCACATGCTAGACTGTCGTCGGCTCGACGTTTGCGAGCCCTCTTGTGTGCAGCCGCCCTACGTACTCGAGAACGCTCCTCAGCTTCCTCGAGGCCTCCTTCATCAATGGCTTTGAGAAATTGTTTGTCAGTTAAGGCGTCTGAGTAATCGACCTCCTTGCGCTGACGCTTCACACCAAACAGGTTGCCGTCTTCCAGAAGAAGACTTCGTTCAACCTATATAGTAAAAAGGATACAAACGTAAAAATAGAATGTTTTGGGTTAGATTAGAGAAAGAAGGATGTAAGTCCATAAAGATCAAGCTTGCTAATGACTGTTGGCATATTAGCGAAAAAAGCACACTCAAAGGGGAACATGGGGGTCATATTAATGTTAGGTTTTGTTTAGCTGATATCTCGCGCTTTATCTTTGGTATATAACTACCACCACCATTACAACTATCTACGCGCAATCGTACAATGTATTAATCCGTCACTATTTATGAGGAGCATTATATATGATAAGAAATATTTCATTGGATGAATTCTGCGATTTCTATGTATTACCAGTTGATTCAAGCGCGATGAAGACATCCAATTTAAGTAAAATTAGTTCACAATTTTCTATTAGCAAGAATGAAGATACAAGGACAAAATCAATGCGTTCAATCGGTCATTAAAGGCTGGAGAATTGGCACTATCCTGGATAATACAATTAGGTTGACATCACGGATGCTCCCTCCCTCCTATTTTAGGTAAGATTTGATTTTTTTTATCAATGGACACTGCAACCATCAAGTAATATTAATAACATAGATTCGCTTGGTAAGAAAACAGAAAACATGGGTAAGGAATTAGGATCATTTTTAGAGATTGTCACCACCTTTGTGCATTTTAAAAGAGAAAATCGAAGCTTGATATGTCGAAATTAAAGCCGACTTTTTAATGAGTTACCCTGGAATGATCGTTAATCAATTGGTGTTAGAAAGTAAAGCCCATGCTTATGGTAAAATCAGACAAATACAATAAAAAAAAAGTAAAAACTTAAGTAATATTCCAATTTCACGAGAGCGATGCTAATGATTACCAAATACTATACTTTTCCCGACTTTATGTAATGAAATCCGCAAAAATAAACTTCTAAAACTATGATTGTGGCAAAAAAGCAATGAATAAATTTTATTCTTTAAGTAGACTTTCGAAACCACAAAGCTTGATTCATTGGATAAATATATAAAACTAGAGTTCCAATACAAAATCACAGCCATTAGGCAACTCAAATAAAAAGTTCATATATAATATGGAGCAATTAGACAAGACTTAGGCCCCAAAATACACTTTACAAGGACATCAAAGTGGTGCAAAGGTAAATGTCACAGAGGAGTGGACTTCCAAACTTGGTTTGACTCAAAGTAAATATGCGAGGAACCTGATAAAGGTTAAAGTCATCATACAAGTTGGATTATAATGTCCTTCAGAGTGCTTTGACTTAGTTGCATTTTAAGACAAAATTTATTAATGAATAAAATGGTGAAGGATTGATAATTGAATTTTCCCACAATTATGTAAATAGGCCTCATGAT